TCTCGGGAACCACCAGAGAACAATCACTGTTCCTTTGCACACTTGGAAAAAAAACTCCTTATCCTTTTTTTCCCTCAAAATTCTAGCTAACTCTCATTCTTACAAACCATCCCACTTTTTTCAATCTCCTCCAATCAAAGCTTGTCATCCCCATCTCTTCATTCAGATAACAAACAACAATTTTACCTAAAATTATACATTTCCTGAAAACTATTAACATGCTAATCGGTTTCTACAAATTCTTAAGAACTAACAGAGAAATATATTTTCTAAATATTCTATTGTATTCACTGTACAAGTCTATTTGGAAAACCCGCTCGCATTGTCCATGCTCACTCGAATATATTTTACAAAGAAAATAATTTATGCATATCTTTAAAATTCTGTTTACTACAGGTAATCCAGGATAATGAACTTTCATTTCTTCGAAATATCTTTTATAGTCTATTAGTCGAATTATTTGAATTATTATATTTTGTACTTTGAAATATATTAAGCAAACCAATATTATTTTCAATTTTGCATAGCATAACAATATATATATATATATATATATATATATATATATATATATAATATATATATATATATATATATAGTGAAGTATATTCAGGTGAGGTGGTCTCTAATAAAAATCTTTGTATTTTCTAAGAAACTCAATATTTCGCTATTTATTTGATAGATTCATCAGGAGTACACTGTAAAACAATTTTAACATTACAAAAATGGCGTACAAATACATTTAAAAGACACTTACAGAAATTAAAAGATTTCACAAATAAAAATTGACATTGAAGTTTGTAGTAAATGGCATGATTAAATTGTCTTAAGCACGTTCGTCTAAGCAATATGATAAAAAAAAATTAAAATTACTTCAAACGTAAAAATAAAAATAACAATAAAAGAAACGTTAGAAGAATGATATTTCTTTGATGAAATCTTAAGGTTAGTTGTTATTAAGGTGAATATTAACTATTTTCAAATTTATAAATTTTGTTCAATATATTACAATATATGTTACTTAACTGTCCAGTGTCAGATTTATAATTTAAAGTGTTTTTATTTTTGTTAATGTGATACATTTCAAGAAATAATCTACTTTTGTAGTTATCAGCCTGAGCCAAAATGTGAGCTTTGTTATAGTCTAGCATATGACCGGTGTTTTCATAGTGCTCAACTACTGCGCAAGTATTTTTTTCCCAAGCGGCAATCACTTTTGTTGGGTGATGCGTTGTTTTAGCCATTGTGATGTTTGGCTAATGTAGCTATTTTGACATCCTAGGCACGGTATTTCATAAACAAGATTACTTTTGTATAAGGTTGGTACGGGGTCTTTGATTTTTGAAAATAGTTGTTTGCTGTTCATGGTATTATATTTATACTCGGTTCACAATTTGTTGATAGCTCACTACAAGTTTAATCCTAATTAGAGAACTGAAATACAGAGAGGATAGGTAATACGATATAATAGTAAAAACCAACCTGAAACTGACGATTTAAGATGTTTTCGACTAACCCACCTTGTATCTGCCGGAATACAATACAGCGGTCAAGCTTATAATCCGATTAGGAACGTATTTTGGCCGACCAGTGTCGTAGAGTATATGATTGAAACATTTATTTGAACTAAATAAATATATTTTTTAAATTGTATTTTTGTTTTAATAAAACTTATAATAAAATAAAATATTTTATTCAAAAATAAAGTTTTTTGCCATTTGTAAAAGATACATTTATTTAATTAAGGGGAAAGGCACCAAATGTGTTTTAAATGTATCCATTATTTTCGAATTCGGAGAAAACTAATAAATATTTTTGAAAAATTTAAAAGCAGAATGAAAGATTACATTATTACTGAGGGTATTATATATGTGTATACTGATGTATATTACAGAAAGTCCCTGAAAACTTCTACAATGTTTATTTTATTATGTTATGCAACAGGGGTGAAAATAAAAGAGAGAATATAGTATAATTTTTAATTGAAAATATTGCATGCAAAAGAAACTTTTTATTTATTCTAATAAATATTTTATTCTGCCTTTAAATTTTTCCAAAAAGGCTTTTTAGTTTTCTCAGGATTTGAAAAAAAATCGATACATTTAAAACACATTGAACATTTTGACAGGCGACGTTTTGCGCCTTTCCCCTTTAATACCTTACGATTACAACTACTATCACTTACCTTATATAATTACGATTAGAAAACTATTCAAATTCAAAATAAATAGGATCAACTTCGGAATCCGAGTCGTCTTGAGGGTTAATAATTAGCGGTTGTGTCTCTACGGTCGCATCAATTATGTTATCAAGATCCCACATTTTTTGTTCTTCTTCTATTACATGTCTTACTGCATCTTTCCAGTTTTGTTCTGTAATGTGTTGTAAAGACTCGTATAACAATTCACGTACAGCTTGTATTTTATATGACGTATTTTTTCTAGCCACATAACTTTTCATTTGTGCCCAAATGAGTTCAATTGGATTTATTTCGCAGTGGTAGGGTGGAAGTCTAAGGACTGTGATGTTTCTCCTTTCCGCCATTTTGTCAACTACGTATTTCTTGAACTTAGATTTGTGTTGCCGGGCAATTTTTAAAAGTTCTGCTTTTACCATTCCATCTTCGTAAGGCAGGTACTTATTCCGCAGCCAGTCAAGAATATCCTGTTTTTTCCACGCAGTCGTTGGAAGTCTTTCTACTAGTCGTGAATGATAAGGTGCATTATCTAATACTATAATTGAATTTGGTGGTATGTGTTCAATCATCTGCACAAAATACTCTTCGAAAACATCAGCTGTCATCTCCTCGTGATAGTCTTTTGTGCTTTTGGACTGAAATTCCAACAAACCATGCTTAACAAATCCTTTTTCACTGCCAATGTGAGAAATTATTAATCTACTGCCTTTACCAGAAGGTGGGGAGATACCAGTAGACCAACCTTCCATAAAGGCTTGCCTGGAGCTTAATATATTTTTATCTGACCAAACTTTTTTTAGAGTATGACCTGAGTTTACCCACGATTCATCCTGGTAGAAGATTGGCCTTCCTTCAGCCCGGAATTTTCGTATGGATCTTAGATAATTTCTTCTCCAACATATTATCTCCTCCCGGTCAATCAAAAGTGATTTTCGGTCTGATTTCTCCCACCGGAAATTTAATTCTTTTAAAACTTGCCACAATTTAGTTCGTCCGATATGAGGCAAATCCGGATCATCTCTAACTTCTTGTAAAATTTTATTTAGGTTTGGTATTTCTTTTTTGAAAAAAAATCCATGAATTTTCCTTCGAATACCATTTTTGGCAAATTCATCAAGTTCAATAGGCTTTTTCCCTCTCTTTAAGTGTTCGTTTGTGTTTGGGTTAGCTATACCGTGTTTTTTTCTTTCTGATAGGAACCTATATATAGTTGACTCCCCTACGCCAGTCATGTTGGCACAACTTTCGACTATGTTGCGAACAGTGTTTGTGGGATTCTGAGAAACCAGAGCATCGTGAACATTCAGGACAATAGTCTTCTCTCTTGGTGAATAGACAGACTTACTGACTGTACGCAACAGTACCGGTGTAAAACTTGATGATGTTGATGATGAAGCCATCACAAACAATCCAACAAAACGAGCACGAGCGAAAGGTACGTATATGTTCGTAGGTATATGGAATAAAAAATCACTCACGCACTGCATATAATTCGCAAAAGAAATATTCGAGACGCTAATTACTGCCGTAGAAGCGGAAACACCGACGAGCCGTAAATTACATGCGATCAAAAACGTACTAAACAAACAAATTGTTTTCGTTCGTAATAACTTCACCTTTTAAGTTAAGTTTCGAATATAAACTAAACAGACGAGGTACGTGGCCAAATCCGGCATCTATACCCATTATATTATTAAAAATCTGGGGAATTCCATCCTAATTATCTTGCAACCGATAGTACCTTCGGATATAAATACCAGGTTTTCTAGTAAAGTGATTAAACGCGAAGATTAGTATTGAAATATCCAAAGAGATAAGGTATTCTTATTTACAAAATTGTTAATGGTTAAATTATTATTTTTATTAATATAATATAATAACCAACATTAGCCGTGAAAGTTTTAATTGTTTTTTACTAAATATATCAGTATTAAAACATTATTAATATTAATATTAATTTTAATGAATAAACACCTCAGGAACGCCTATGATGATACAAATTTTACGACCGTTTGATGATTTTGAGGCATATTTCGTGCTATCAACAATTTGTGAACAGAGAATAGCTATACTAATATTAGGAACATTTTTGAATACAGATATGACGGAATGAGTTAGACCATTAATAAAGGGGAGTTTTTTTTTTATATTTGATTGATTTGTTGTTCGAATCATGGATGGGGCCGTCATAGAAATTACTGCTGTATATCAGTTTTTTTTTAAATTTGTTTAGGATATCCGATGTTACGAAAAATTTTGTATAATATGTCCAGATTTTTTTGTAAAAAGCTGTCATTAACAATGGACATTATCCTGGTTTTCCTACCTAGTACGGTATAAACTAATTTAACTAGGTTAACCCTCTAGAAATAAATATTCAAGTGATTACATCTTTGCAAAGACGATAAGGAGACCTTTCAAATGAGCTGTCGCGTGAACTCGGTTTGTATTTAAAAAAATCGTCAATTACGTCATTACGCCGACACTAATGACGTAATATCCAACACGTATATATTAGTTGATGGTCATTCAAAAATTAAAATTGACATGTTTAAGATTGTTTTTTAAAAGTCGTCTGTTTTTGAAATAATGAATTCATTCCATACATTTGCATCATACTGTATGGACTGTTCGCTGTATGCTATGGTAAAAACCCGATGAATAAGATATAACAAAAATATATTTTTTTCTACATCGCTAACGGCGGTGGCGTTTCTTTAGTTTGCTTTATCTATTCTCAAGTAGTGACGAATAACATTAGCACCTAGTTGTACAATGTAACGAAAGTTCCTATTCATTTCAGGTGTAGTCTTACTAGAACACAAAAAGAATGAACCAAAAATGGACAAATGGAAACTGGTACCACCTGATGGCGGATGGGGTTGGTTGGTACTGTTCGGAGCGACCATGGTTAACATATTGGTGCCAGGAACTATTAAATCGTTTGGGGTCCTGTTCGTGGAGTTTCTCGAAGCGTTCGATTCTACTCCTGCAGAAGGGATGTGGATTCCAGCACTATGTTACTTTTTGTATAGTTCATTAGGTAAGTTTGGTTTTTTATATTATTTTATATTATATTTATTTTATTATTTATTTATTTATTTTATATAAAAGGATACCATTCGGTTTTTATTAAGAACATATTAGAATGTATTCATTATTAAAGGGTTTAAGATTAATTAAATACGCTTATTTACACTTTGTAAAAATGTGTAAAGAAATTCGTTAAAAATGGATTATTCAGCATCTAATAATATCATAAAAAAGTTTTACACTGCGAAACAACTTTACTATAAAAAAACTATAATAAAACATGTTTTTCTTCTTCTTTTATCTTTATTACACTATCTGCCTACTTTATTCGTCTCCTTACTTTTAATTAACTTCATTCTTGATTCTTTGTTTTCTCTTATATTGTGCATTTATACAGGGTGTGTCCAAACTAATGTAAAATATCTTCTTGGACAATTCGTCAGATTTTTTAATTTTTAGAGCTTGAGATTTGATGAGAAATAAAATTATAGTATAACTTGGAGAGTGTTTATTTATTACTTCATTTAATAAAAAAAATATAAATGAAAATTCACAAGAAAATGTCCTCGTTCTTGTTGTTACAGTATATAATCATAAAATGTTCAATATTTTCAAGAGTAATGTTATGCCTTCTATCAGTTAATATGTGTTTATATGACGAAAACGATCTTTCAACATCACAGGATGTAATTGGCGCAAATCTAAAATTTGACACTAGCGGGGGATCCATATTAATAACTTCGTTAAAGCTTCCGTTAATTATATTATTTATTGATCGCAATAAAGAAAAGCCTTCATTCCGGTTTAAAACTTCACTAAATGTATCTTTAATTTTTTTTCCAATTGTCCCTGAAAGGTTTACTATTCTTTCTTTGACAGAATCAACAATGCAAATACTAGCATCTAAAGATAATTTTTGACTCTCTAGTTTTGTAATAGAGTTTACGCTTTTATATAGGACAGTACATTCTGAACAGAATTCTCACTAAAAATATTTTGACATTTCTGAACAGCAATACAACAAGAGGAATCAAAATTTGATATAACATTTTTGATATCAATATAATTATTTGCAAGAAATATGGCAATATTCAACCACGTCCCCCATCTAGTCAACACTGGTTCCGGTGGCAAAGGGATATCAGGAAGCATCTCCCTATATACTTCTACTCGCAATGGTGCTTTTAAAAATACTTTCTTTACATTGTTGATTAAAGTGTTTACATTTGGAAACTCGAGTCTAACTTTCTCTTAAAATCTTAAGACTAGTAACAGCTTTAACCATATAGGAAGTGGCATCGCTAACTAGTAGCAAAATTTTTTCAGAAGATACTTGAATCGCTAAAAAGAAATTTGTCAAAGATTCATTAACAAATCGAGCAATTGTTGCATAGTTGGTTTTTCCTAAACATTTTACGCTGATTATATACAACTTGTTGGAGTCATCAGCTGAACTGTTTAAAACTCCAATAATTAAATTCGCAATTTGCCGACCCTTGGCGTCAGTAGTCTCGTTGACAGATATCCACAGATATTTATCTCTTACCTGACTTTTAATACCTTTAATAACGTCTTTGTAAGATGCCCTCACATATTTCTTGCGAAGAGTTGAAGAACTTGGTACCTGTACTGACTTATTTTCAACTTTACAATATGTTTTCAAAAAATTTTGACACACCTTGCTATCCAATTTATACAGTGGGATATTGCAACTTACAAAAAAATTGCATACATCTTTTGCAAAAATTTCTTGCTCCGTCGATGTGTGACGATTTTGAATAATGTTTTTCTGCAGAAGCTGCAGGCGTGGTTTCTTGAAATCCTTAGATAGTTTATATTGGTGGAGAGCCGTTTTCAGGTGTTGGGAAATTTGGAATGTTTTTCACATGAAATCTGTAATAAAATGTTTTAGTAAATAGGAGTCTAATGCAATAATATGGACTTCAAATTTTTACGATAACTTATATTTAATTGATGGATTCGACCGTTACTTGATGGAAATTCATTTTATGTAACAATAAAACACTGAAAACTTTGTTTTCAAACTTGCACAAAATTTAATTTAACCTCTTATCACTACAGTTGTTTCGGCTGATTGCCTTTCTCAAGTGATCTATTTTTGGCATGAATTTACACTTTATAGTCTCTAATGAAATAGGTTGAGGAGAGGAGAACTATTTGTCTCAAGTTGGTTATTCAGAATTATATCTGTGTTTTTTAATTTGTTGACTTCCATAGATTCTAACAAGGATAGCTTAAGGCCTTTATTTTAAATGCGAAGAATTATTGAAAGCCCTTTTATGTTCTGCTATTCGTTTATTAAAGTTTCTACCAGTTTGACCGATGTAAGTTTTTGGGCAGTCGCCACATTTAAGTTTGTACACACCACTGTGTAAGTGTTTTTTCTTTTGGCTCTTGTTGTTTTTGATATATATATATATATATATATATATATATATATATATATATACATATATATATATATATATACCTAGGTTGTTATTTGTTCGAAAAGCTGGTGTAATTCGTTTCTTTTTTATGTGTCTGGCTATTTTTGTTGATATTTTGCCTGTATATGTAATCGAGCAGAAGGTACTGGGCTTTTTCTCTGGTGGTGGAAATACTAATTTCAGGGCTTTCTTGTGTAGTTTTTGATTTAACATTTATAATTGTTTGTTCGTTGTATCCGTTGTTTACTGCTATTTGCTTAATGATATTTAATTCTGTCTCAAAGTTGTATTTTGACATCGGAATTTCTGTTAATCTATGTAACATACTATGGTTACATGAAACACAACCAGTTTATGTTATGTTGGATGAGATGATGAATTGTGTATAGTCGTATCAGTATGGGTAGGTTTATGAAATATGGAGATGTCATGCTTGTTTTTAAGTCTGATAATTTTTAAATCTAAAAAATTTATGGATTGATTTTGTTCTGTTTCTATTGTAAATTCAATATGACTATAAAGTGAATTAATATACGATAAAAATTGATCGAGTTGCCTGTTAGTTCCTGTGAAACATACCAGTACGTCGTCTACGTATCTCCACCAATATACAAATTGTTTGAATACGGGATATTTTGAAATCTTTGTTTCTAGATAATCAATAAAAATATCTGAGCAACGGGCTTAGAGGATTGCCCATTATAAGTTCTGCACTGTTATTTGTATATATTTGATTATTAAATTCAAAGTAATCCTGGTTTATGCAAACTTCAAGAAGATGTAAAATTTTAGATGTAATTATTGGATTTGTACTATTTCGGTCTAAAAGGTTTTTTACTAGAATACAAGTTTCTGTAGGAGGGATACTAGGAGAAGATTTTTTACGTCAAATGAAATTAATCTGGAGTTGTTAGCTAATTGAAAATGTTGTATTTTATTAACTAGTTCTATTGTATTTTTTATGATAAATTTAGTTGCAAATTTAGTGTATTCTAAAATAATGTCCAACAGTTTTTTTGAAAGCTTATATGACGGAGCTGTATAAAAAGAAACTACAGGTCTTATTGGGTGATCCGGTTTGTGTAGTTTGATGAAAGAGTATAATTTAGGAGGCTGTGGGTACATGATATTGAGGTATTTCTGTTCTATTGGAAAACAATAGAATTCTTAAATAATCAAAATATTGAAACGTTACACAAAGATCCGACAGAAATATACCAAAAACAAATTAAGCTAGCATTAGAAAATTCAAAATCAATAGTAAATTCAATCTTGAAAATTTGAATTTGAATCCACACCTCAATTTTGAAAATAATTGTCTAAAATATTTTTGCCTCTGTTCTTTTTGTACTCTATTTAGAAATGATAAAGTTTTGTAAATATGTGAATGTAGTGGACAACATTTGAAGCTTTTAACTAATATTCAATCGACGTCTCCTATGGCAGTAATAAAAATTAATAATCACAAGACTCACTGTCACTGTCAAAAGCTAAATAAGACTTTAAGTAGTTTGACAGTTGCGTAACAAACTATTAAAAACTAAATAATATAGATTAAAGAAAATCAAAAAGAGTGTTCTGTTTTTCTTTACATAAGTATCCATTACTAAATTAGTTGACGTCGTTCCCCACCCCCAAGAGGTGTCAATGTTGGTGTCCAAAAGTGTTTGAATTTAGTCTTATTACTCTTACAATATTAACTTCTTAGTTAACAAGGACAAATTAAAGTATACGTATACGTAAGTAAACTTACTTAAGACGTATTTCGATCTCAACAATATTTCCGTTCAATTTATTACTTTTGAATAAAATATGAGAATCTTATAAAATGAATATAAAAATGTAAATATATGTTTAACCTTAATTTTGAACCCTTCAAACAAAAGTTTTAATTTTACCTAGTGGCTCTAATAATTCAATTAGGTATCGACTGTGTATCAGCTTCCACCGATTGAAAATTTTGTTTTATTCTTTTTATAAACTGATTGGTACTCTTTTTTTAATAAAAAGTGGGAATGGAACGGTATAAAAACAACATAAGATGTCCAAAATACTAAAAACCACGTTTTTTAATTCCCTTTAGCCCTCTTCTGACTTCGGTAATATTGGACAAATTGAAAACGGAAAAGTAAGGGTTTCTAATTAATCATTTTCAACCCACACGGAATTTGGCACCCTCATTATGGGATACTCGGTATGAAAAAAACATAAATGTATTAAAAGCACTGTTTTTATGGCGATATATTCTACTAGAAAACTTATAAAATGAATTCAGTTTAAACACGTTTTGTTTTATTTTTAAAATTTTATATAACGACAATTTTATGTAAGTGTGATTATAAGTTTGAAATAAGGTAAGAGGTTTGGAAGGTACAAAGAGAAGGTAGTATGTATAGTAGTTGAATATTCAAATGGCTTCGTAGTAAAATATCAGTAACTGGATGCCGTCATATCTTTTATTGAAACAATTTGGCCTTTTTGGGAGGGGTATATTAATAAAAATGTTCAAAATAATGTGGTTATTTCTCAAATTAAAAAATATACAGGGTGCCCCTTTAAAAACGAAGTTATAAGCAACAACTATTAAAAAAGGAGTAAGGCAAGGTTGTATACTATCTCCAATGCTGTTCAATTTATACGTAGAAAAAGCCTTTGCAGAAGCAGTGGCAGACTCTAATAAGGGTATTAAAGTTAAAGATGGGCGTTATATAACGTATTCGGATAAATAACACTATTACCAATAAGTATTCGTTTTCTCAATCATAGGTTACAGCAAACTGCCTATTACTTTTGTCACAGTGTAACTATAACGTTGGTATTCGAAATCGGCATTCGATATGTTGACGTGACAACATCGAACGATGGGAATCATTAGCTCAATCGGTAACAGAATAAGATCGTCATTGTCACCGAATTTATGATGACCTAGGAGCTTTATTAAGACGGAGACTATGTTTATATGATTTACAATTTATAGCATAGTAGTATAATATATGTTTAATGTTTATTTTTAACAACCATCAAACGTATGCAGAATGTTTATCACTCACGGTAGAAAGTATTCGTTTATTGAAAAAGATATTATGATTACTACAAGAAACTATAGCAAGCCCAGCGGACTGGAGCTGCTTGGGTAATAGGTGACAAAAGTAATAGGTTTCCGGAACCTATTACCTGTCTGTCACCGGAACAATGGAACCTATTACTACAAAGTAACTGCATTTTCCATTGCTAATTAAAGTTAACGGCATATTTATTAATAACATCAGGTATGCCGATGATACAGCCATAGTGGCAGATAACATCGATGATCTTCAATGCCTTTTAAATGATCTAACTCTTGCAAGTGAAGCTCGGGGTTTGAAAATAAATATCAAGAAGACAAAAACAATGATTATAAGTAGAAATGATTACCCAAACGCAAAGATATATGTCTCTGGAGAACAAATCGAACAGGTCAGGCAATTTTAATACTTGGGTTGTTTGCTGAACGAGGGTTGGGACCCCGAGAATGAAATAAAGAGCAGAGTTGAACAAGCCAGAAATGCTTTTTTGAGGCTTCGTAAGTTTCTGACTGATCGCAAATTGGACTTCAACCTCCGATACAATATGCTTAAGTATTACGTGTGGCCTGTTCTCTTGTACGCAATGGAAGCATGAACGCTAAATGCCAGTTCCATTAACAAACTTGAAGTGTTTGAAATGTGGTGCCTGCGTCGAATGCTTAGAATATCATGGACGGACAGGGTCAGAAATGAGGAAGTGCTCAGAAGAGCGGGCTTATAGGATAGGGAACTTTTTAGTTATGTAAAAAGTAAGAAGACTGCATACTTGGGGCACATATTACGAGGAGAAAGATACACTTTTCAGCAACTGATACTCGAAGGGAAGATAGGGGTAGGAGAGGACTGCGACCTAAAAAAATGTCATGGCCGCGCAATATTCGACAATGGACAGGTATCCACAGCTATGAAATGCCTCGCAATGCTGCTAAAAACAGAATTATTTAATCTTGACTATTTAACATCTCACCTGACAAGACGATGTACAGTGGACGCCTACGCAAAAATGCACGGCACCTTAAGGAGAAGAAGATTAAGCAACTTCTGGTATAACCGAAAGAAGCGAATAGATGAAAATATTTTATTAAATAGGTTACTTTAGTTCTCGAGATATTTTTAATTAGCCGTTTATCTGCCGCACCCTGTATGTAATATATTACTCCACCGAGCTTTCGACATGTTCTCTGATGTCTTCTTCTGGGCTTAACACTTAACACTGCCCTACTGCTACTGGGAACCGCGGACGGTTCATTTATACCATCAATGGTGAGGTGGTTTTTGTGGAAGTTGGCGTAAGGGTTAGGATGGGGGTTGGCGCGAACATTTCTGCCGTTTTTTCAATTGCCGAAAAGCTATAGAAATTGAAAAAAGGCCAAATTGATTCAATAAAAGATATGACGGCATCCAGTTACCTTCGACATGGAGACCTCTCATAAACAAAATATCGTCCGCTCCACTTTCCAATTAAAATCCCGATATCAGAAATGTTCTCGCCAACCCCCACGTCAACCTCTACAAAAACCACGTCACCATCGACGGTATAAATGAACCATCCGATGTTCCCAGTAGAAGTATTGCAGTGATTATTGATCAATGTAGTAGTGTCTGTAATAGAAAAGAAAAGTAGATAACAGGAAAGATTGGTAGCGAATTACTATTTTGGGTTACTGTTTATATAATGCTTGTAGTTAATGTTCATATCTGTTAATTGTTAGTACCGTTCTTGTCATAAAAACTGGTACAACTCTTATAATCAAAAATCGTATTCTTTAAGTTGTGTACGTTGATCTTGTCACATGTGTCATTTTATTTTCTAGGGCACCGTTGCCAGTTCAACGAAAATATTATATGAAACCAGCTAAAAGCAGGGTTGTGTGTGTGACAGACCGCCAGTTTTGAGTATACTAAAAACTAAAGTCAGTCACATTAAATTTGTTTAAACATGCATCCTAAAAAATTCTCATATTAATTTTGTAATTTTCCATCACCTCAATTAAGTACCCATGCATTGATTTGTGTTTTATAACAATTTATGAAAATATTTCAATTCAAAAATAATGATAGATGATCAATCTAGACATAACTTTAAATTATTATAATAAAACATTACAGTGAGATATTGGATTGTAACTGTCACGTTTTGAAAAGCGTTTTTTTGCCCCAAATATTTTATAGTTTGTAATGTTAGTTTTTCATATTTTTTGTCGTTCTTGTAATAAATAATAAATTAATTTTAGTAGTTTGCCTGTTACAAAACTTATTGACACAAAATACATTTCGTGTTTGGTAGGTAATTGAAGTATAAAATTACAATAGATGTATTCCAATGTTCCCTGTGTCAATATCCTAGGTTTAAAGAACCTTCAAACATTTTGTATATTAACTCAACCCTATCTCTGGTTATTTAATCTAGATACGGTTTTTTGTTGTTAATGGTAAAAATAATACCTATCTAAAAATTTTATATATTTTTGAACGTTATTTTTTTATTTAGATTTAGTGCAATTCCGTTTTCTGTGATGGCTACAACGAACTGATTCACGAACCATTGTGTCTAGTCTGAACACGGGTTTATATTGGGAAAAAAGTGTACCAGTTTTATATGACGGGAAGTGTACCTAATATTAGCATATCATTATATCCTATTCTTCTTAAAGCGAATTCAAAAATTATAAGTTCATAGTAGAATTTTGTGCCTACATGTAAACAGTGCTCTATTTGGATGGAAATTTAATAAATAAACCTTTTGTTGCAGGTCCTGTTTCCAGTATACTTTCTGTAAAATATTCGTACAGGACAGTGACGATATTAGGCGGGATTAGTGCAGCAGGTGGTATGATACTAAGCTTTTGGGCAAATTCTGTTTACTTTCTGTACGTTAGTTATGGAGTTCTTGTAGGGATAGGGGCAGGACTGTCATTCCCACCAACGGTTTACATAGTGTGCAGCTATTTTTTTAGATTAAGAGGGGTAGCCAACGGCATTTGCATATCTGGTTCCGCATTTGGATCTATCATCATTCCGCCATTACTTCGGGTGCTTCTAGTGACTTATGGATATAGAGGCGCTGTATTAATAATGGGCGGATTGACGCTTAACGTTTTTGTGGCATCTCTTTTCTATGACAAGGTTGAGCTGCATATGAAGAAAGAAAAAATAGAACCTCCACAAGAAAAAGAAGACAGGCCCAAATTTAGTATCAGTCACGATGATAGTCTAACGTCTCTACATAACATTCCACACAACGACTCATTCTTAGAGCACATAGAAAACTCAACAGGCAATTTTAATCGTAGCGCTTCCAGCGTAGCTATGCAAAACTTGAAATCTTTGCAAAGGGAGCGAAAAATTAGTATGCCTCAGGGTCGCCAAGAAATATTAAAGGCAAGAGCTAGGGATAGTATTCACAGCAATTCAACACTTCATGCTGTACCAGAGAAAGGGAATGGAAATCCAGCGATGGATATATATTCTCAAAGTCGTCTTCCTAGCAGTAGGCGCAGGTCAATCGCTCCACGAAGAAGTACTTCGACCAGTTCGTTTCAGTATGTTAGCACTCCATACCACGGTAGTACGCTAACTCTACAACCAGAAATATTTGCTAGTTCATTCAGTTTGCGTTCTACTAAATCCAAGAATGCAACGGTTGCAGAAGAACAACCAAAAAGACCCAAATTGCTGGACTTATCACTGTTAAAAGATCCTATTTATTTGGTTATTCTTATTTCTAATGCCACCAATGCTATAAGTTATACCAATTTTATCATATTATTGCCTTCTTACGCCCAGACTTTAGGCTTCGATAAAGACCAGGGAGCAATGTTGTTATCAATCGTATCTGCCCTTGACCTAGTAGGTAGAATAGGAGGATCAGCTCTATCAGACTTAACATCATTTCCTAAATGTTTTTATTTCGTGGGAGGACTTCTTATTTCTGGCATTTCCCTAGGAATAATGCCGTTATTTTTAAATTATTGGGCTATTGCAGCATTTTCTGCACTTTTTGGACTAGCTTCGGGTACATATGTGGGTATAACCGCAATCGTAATGGCTGACATGCTGGGAGAAGAACGACTGCAATCTACTTACGGCATGGGCCTATTTGTTAACGGTATTTTGCAATTAATTGGACCTCCTTTATGTGGTCTCTGGTATTCTCGTGTACAATCATATGTATCTCTTTTCATTTGTCTTGGAATAGCCCTTTCCATAGGAGCTAGTCTTTGGAGCATCGTTCCTTGCATTAACCGAAAGAAAGAGGAAAGTAATGAAAAGCCAGACGATTTGACTTCATAAAGTGATTTTTAAGTTTTTAAATAGTATTTTTAGGTATCAATACTTTGACTATAGATTTAAACCAAATCTTTAAAACATAAACTTACAAGATGTGACATCAAAATTCTCATCAATTCTTCACTGACGTGACATTTTCTCTTAAGGTAGCATTCTGCAAAAAGTGACCGCGACAGTAGACCGAGACAAGCGACATACGCGAAACGTGAATCTATGACTTCAGTATATCAGATGTAGAAAAAGACGGATAATGGCTTCGAAATTATTACGTGGTTTGAATTAAATGGAGGATTTGAAACGATGCGCAAGGAAAGATTTTATATTTTTCAGGGCAATAAAATCTCTGTAGGATTCTACTTGAGTATCAAATAGTGGTGTATTCTTAGCCACTAACTAGATTAGCAATTCGTCTTCCTCACAAGTAAATGTTATTTCGGACATTATTCCGTTTTCGGAATTATTTTTAACTATGTACAAATCAGTGCTGTCACACAGCGACCGACAGCACTGCTGCTTTTGAAAGAGACTGACGAGACACAGTTAGGCGACAGTTGTTTGTGGCTTATCTCCCCCCGTCTCGGACTGCAGAACGACCTTGATATAATTGCATTGAGAGCAGACATGGAGATATTACAATTATCGTTTTCACCTACCTGTTGCCTATCTCGGTTGCTTGTTGCAGAATGCTACCTTTACATATTTCAGCTTTGATATTTCGGATCCATTTGTATCTTCACTGTTTTCTAAATATACTCGTAATATCAAGAGGTTTGTCTCTAGTATGTTGACACTGGTTAAATTTACTCCCATGTGTATTTACTCCCAATATTTTCAGATTTTGCGTAAATTATGGACATATTATATTTAACAGACATCAAAAATTGATATTCTTTTAGTTAGTTTATTTTCTATTCATGTAATTTCAAACATTTTGTCAAAATCTTGTCTTTTTTAAATGTTTTGAAAAAATGTTGAAATACTCAACTAATATCAATTTTTGATATGTAGTGCCTAATGCAAAATTTCATAATTTTACGCTGAATGTACTCACAATAATATTAATTTGTTCTATTAAAGATATCAAAGTTGATTAGCCATAATTATGCAGAAATTCTATCTCAGATTAAAAATCATATTTTCAAAAATAACGTCCAATTCTATTTTTTGTCTCATGTTTTTGTTTTATTGGGGCATTATCGACGTCGTGTAGAGTTGGCTAAATTACTATGATTTATTTAATTATGTGTTATTAATTCTTATTAATATTACTTTGTATTCTATTTCAAATCTTTCCTTAAGTTTCCATTTAGGTTAGTTTTTATAACTTTTTGGTGTGTTTCCTTTCCTTTTCTTTCTTTTTAGCTGTTTTATATTTATGCATTTTACAATGAACACAAGGTATGATACATAATGTTCCAAGATCAGTTCGCTTCGCGCATTATAGGAAAGACTTTTAATTTTAAGTTTTTTTATATAATTTGAGCAATTCAATTACAGTAATTATAAAGAGACGATAAAATTGTGTTATTATAATATTTAATCATAAAAAATATTTTGCAGTTAATTTAATTTTACTGATTTTTGGTAGTTATTTTGGTAACATAGATATTCTTTAACACCAGATCTTTTATCACACATAGATACAGGTTGATCAACTTAAGCTAACTGGCCATCGAGTATGAGTGTAGTGAGGTCACACAACATTGCACAATGTTTTAAATGACAACTTTTATAATTTTCACACATAAAATTATCTTGGTGTTATTTAATAATAATAAATAATATGTAAGCACTACGAGCCTAGTGGAACATGGCTTAATGTACTATTCTTTGCCACTCCCTTTTCTTTCTCGTTACGTTACGTTAAGTCTTCTCATATCTTTCTTTAACGTCGTTGCTCTATCTTGACCTCGCTCTTCCTCTTTGCCTGCCAATGCACTAGGTAGTAACATTCTGGGAATTTTAGATAGAATCATTCTCTGCACATAGCCCAACCATCTAAGTCTTTGAACCTTAATTACGGCTAATATGTTGGGTTCTTGATAGAGCTCCGTTAGCTCGATATTTGTTCTTATCCATTTAAGTTTTTCCCCACCAGATTTTGCTCTTCCAAACTAATAAAAGCTCTTGGTGTTTTTTTGTTGTGACCCATTTTCCAGAAGAATACGTCATTATTGGCTATATTATGCCCTTGTATGTCCTTAGTTTTACTCTTCGATACATATTTTTGCTTCTTAACAACCCATTGAGAGCATATACAGCGCGGTTGCCAGAAAATTCTTTTCTTTATGTCTTCTTTAGAGTTAGGTTCTCTTGTAAAGACACTTCCAAGTACTCATATCTTTCAACTTCTTCAAATTTATATTGTTACTATTGCTGTAATCATTGTTATGTACTGCTCTTGGACGAATTGCTTATTTGTGCATTCCATATACTTCGTTTTTGCTTCATTTATATACATTCCCTTGCTTGTTACCCTCTCTTTCAGATTCATGAGCAGTTTTCAGTTTTTTGTGGTAGATCAGACCTGTTCTATTGTTTGCTTCCTGTATAATATTTTCTAATATTATGCTAAACATTTTAGATTATAATGGACCTCAAAGCTTTCTGTTATAATATTGTTTATTTTGACTTTATTCGGTGTCCTTGGAGAGTTAATGGTGTTTTAACTAGGAAAAAAGTGAGAAACTTAAAAAGTAGACATAGATAGATTTATTCTTGTAAATTTCTACATTATTATATTCGTCAGACATAAAAATTACAATATAACCACATAAGAGTAAATACAAAAACATAGGGAAATTGTCATTCATCATTCAACTCACAATTCTTCGCATGTACAGATGATTACATGAGACAGATACTCATCAATAGAATAGAAACTGTAGTAAATCAAGAATTCTTTAACACTATGTTTAAAAGGCTTTACAATTTAGACTATGCTTAAAAGACAGATAACTGTTTATATCATATGGGTATAGAATAGAATAAAATAGAAATATACTTTATTGTCACAGAAAATGTTGTAAATTTCTGGTAATCTTCAGTTTTAAAATGGAGTACTCAAGAACAAATTCTTGCAGTATTACAATTAAAATTATCCTTTCTACAACGAGATATTATCTACAGTTTTCTGGTCAGACTATCTTTAGCAAATGTATGAAACCTAAAGATTTTAGCTTTATTGTCACTATTGCAACAAGCAACTGTACAGCGCATTTTGAAAAAGATACACAACCAGATAGGTACACAATGGCAAATAAAAACTAGATACTGAAGAGTACATGTTCGTAAATCAGTCTCTATACAAAAATATGTGCAGGAAACACCAACGAAAAAATGTAAACAATTTATATATTCATATTTGATTCCGTACATCAAAGCACTAAAAAAAAGTTGAACTACAAGTTTTACAAAAAAACTACTAAAAAATATATAAACTAGATAGCAACTAAACACCGCATGTACTACACTACACACAGACACTATTATGCTTTTACTGAAGAAAAAAACGCGATAAATTGCTACAATGTCAAAAAATTCGTTAACTATTATTATCTACTAATAATGGGTCCGAGGATTCTTGTCTACGTCACACGCCTGGCTCAGCTGTCAAATGTCATGCGCAATATCATACCTTGTGTTCATTGTACCATGATATTTATGTATTGCAGTTGTTCTCATAGTCTATGAGCCAGAGGTTGAGTATAAACTTTTATGTCCCCGCGGTACCTTGACGTTTTTTATGTTTTTTTATGCTTAGATTCGAGTTTTAGAGATATCAGGCTGAAAACTCGTCAGATTTGTTATTAATAATTTAGTTGTTTAAATAATTGTATTTAAGTATTAGAGATATTAAATTTTAAAAAACATGAAAATTGTTTCTTTTGAAAAAATGGCGTTTGGTAAACTTTGATCAGATTGTTCGGATTATCATGAGTTATAACAAATTTCGTGAAGAACAATTGCAAAATAGGCATTCAATGGGGCTTTTCAGAGTATCACTCAGCTTTCATACGTTTGATTAACTTTCAAAACTACCTCAATTTAATTGGTAATTATTTCTGTATGACCTCTATAAGTTAATTGTTTCTATTAAAAAAAAACTTTACAAAATTACATTATTTTTATTAATAAAAAAGTTATAACAATTAAACATAAAAAAATTCACTATAAAGTTGAAAATATTAATTTGTTTATAAGAGATTTAAACAAAATTAAGCTATACACTTAAAACATTTGGATAATGGAAGTTATGGAACAACTCAAAATGAACATGTTAAGCTTTGATAAATGTCTTTATGTTAATATTTGACTAAGATATGGAAGATACATACGTAAAATCCATGTAGATTTAAAGATGCATATTATTTTATTAATATAACTAAAAAAGTTAAAAAGTTATAGCAGTTTATAGTTAAAATTGTCGTTAAAAAGTGGTGAATTATTTTGTTTAAAATTTTTATGAGTTTTAAACAAAATTGAGCCGTATGTTGGCAGTTTGGTTAATACAAGTTATAAAACAATTAAAAACGAACATTTTAAGTTTTGATAAATGTTTCTATGTTAATTTTTTGCCGAGATATTGAAAATTGATTTACGCGCGCTCGCATTCGCTGTGAGCTGCCCATAGAAACCAAATTAACATAGAAACATTAACCAAAGCATTAAAACATCGATTGCGTATTTTGTAATTGTTGTTCTAATAATCAGATCAAAGTTTACCAAACACCATTTTGTTTATTTTTTCAAAAGGAATCATTTTCATTTTGGTAAAATTGAATATCTGTAATAGTTTAGGAGATACAATTATTTAAACAATTAAATTGTTAGTACCAAATTATCTGACAAATTTTCAGCCTAGTACTCTCGAAAAATCGTATCTACGCACCAAAAATTATAAAATACGACAGGGTACCGAGAGTACATAAAGTCCCCATAAACCCCCCTAGTCCCTAAACTGTACTTTTTGATTTTAGTCTTAACGATATCTTGTGATGGTTTTAAATTACTGTGTTCTGTAAGAATTTTTCTATAAAATTTAGATCCAAATATCACATATTATTGCCTTTTCTGATATCCTATTTTTCAGTTTCGTGGTCTTTAGACTGATTAACTATGTTTACCAGGCTGAGAATATATGTATGTTGAAACAATAAAAAAATATATTATTGACAGTTATTGACACGACATTTACAGATATATGTCTATTCTTGTATGAGATTTTTAGCTTAAGTTTTAATTTTAATTGACTCTCTAATTTTAATTGATTATTTCATAAACTATGTCACAAATTATTATTTAATTATAGAATTTAAACGAATTTTCAGAACATTTCCAATTAATTATGTAAGTTTGGTATATTATATAGTACGTCTAGAAAATATGTAAAACAATTTATTTTTTCCTATCTGCCGTTTCCTAAATCCCGTTCTAGATCATGTTTTTTGTAGGAAAATATCTGCTTTTTCTTCTTCTATCTATCATCCTCTTCATCAGTCGGATACCCACATTTAAACTTAGTATTAGGAAATAGTTATGACTCGTAATGAAAATATTTAAAAAAATCTTTTCTTAACTTACCAATATTAATAATCCTCCATTATCATAAAACCTATTGCCAATTTTCTGAAGCGCAAGTGCCTGTCACTATTTCTGATCCGCTTTAAACTCCAATAAAGTGAGATTAACTTTTATTAAACAGTATATTAAAAAAAATAAAAAAAATCAGTATTTGCCTCGTTTTGTCTCATATACCTCAGCACTTATTGGTTTTAGAACAATTTTCAAGAGGATTAAAAGTTTTGCAATTAAATTTTACATAAGAGAAATGTGGATCATCATACAATATGTCAATAAAATAGAATACAGTTATTTCACAATTATTTTGCAATCTAGCAATTTTGAAAAAACTTACCTACAAGTCTAAAACTAAACAAAATTTCATTGCATATAGAAGGGCAGTCAAACTTTTAAATCCACTTTGAAGAGGTAAAATTCGCGAATTAGGAGTACTTACCTGTTTTACTTTTCTACGTATTGTAACCTGCTGCAAAGCTACAACTCTATTATTTGCTTTATTTTAATTTTGAGACAGCCGAGCAACCGAGCTCTCGGTACCCCCCATCTTTTATCGATCATAACGCAGGAACTAACAATCAAATTCTTTTTTTTTAACAAGCGTCTTTTAATGTACGTTCAATATGTACTTTATATGTTTTTTATGTACTTTGAAAAAAAAAACAATTTAAAAAGTTATTCTAATTGTTTATTAGCACAAAAATTCAAAATAATCCTAGGCACTTCTAATTAGCGAATTTGAATTTTTCAAATTGAATTTAAAGGCTTCAATGCCCTTTGCATGTCATACATTCTTCAACTTTCTAAGGTCTTTCGTTTTGGACTTGCAAAATTTTGAAAATTATTAACTTTTTTCAAAAAATGCAAAATTGTGCAAAAACTATTTGATCGATTTTATTGAAAATTTGTGTAATGAAATGTAAATATATTAAGATTTTTCACGAAGTGTGAAGGGCCTATGTACAGCTGCGATCATTAAATAGTTTACATCCTTACACATTTATATCTATCTATCTATAAAATCGACGTTGTTTGAAGCCACATACCTTTTCAGTTGACTCCACACCATCTCAATCGGGTTCATCTCGCAATGATAAAGCGGCAGTCTCAAAATCTTAACTCCATATTTTTCCGCAATTGTTTCAATTTTGTACTTGTTGTACTTGTCTCTAAATGCAGCTGCAGTATCCAGTAATTCACTTTTTAGGTAATCTTCCTCGAAGAAAATGTTTTTTTCGATTAGCTAATCCTTTTGTTCCACATTTTTTTCGGGAAATCAAATTTGTGAGAGTGGCATGACGCGTTATCCAAAACGACAACGTTTTATTTGTCTTTCTGCAAGTTAACGTCTTCTCAAACCATTCTTCCCCATAGATTCCCATCCATTTCGTCGTAGTAATCAATTCCCCTCTTGGCCAAGAAAGTTAATTCAGTCCATGCCATAAAACCAGTTTCGCTTCCAGCATGAAAAAGAACAAACCGAGGACCTGTTTGGGTTGGAGCTTTCAGTCCAGCAGAAAGGCCTTTTAGGAAGGCATTTAGTGGATTCTTGATCGCTTTCCCTCCATTCATTTTTAACTGAAGCACCGATTTAGTCCAAGACTTGTCGGTATAAACAAGGTTTACATTATCCTTTTTCCTCGATGGTTTTATTTGTCTGACGTACTTATGTGTCCAGGAAATAATAACTTTTTTTTCTATATTCTCTTTTGCCATTTTCAAAACCCATGTCGTTTAGTAGTCTACGAAATGTAGTTTTTAAAAAAGCTGGTAGGTTGGTTGTATGTTATCCAAAACAAAATCATGGACAATTTTCTTCACACTAAAGGTCGATTCAGACACATCAGTCACGTCTCGTCACAGTCCTGGCGCCGAACCGAACAATCCGTCATACAAAATATTCTTTAATAGAAATATGGCGCCAGCATTCACATTCATCAGGCGACGAACAGTTTCCCAGCTGTCAAATAATTATTAGTTCTGTCAAACAGGACCGGTTCGGCGCCAAGACTGTAACGCGACTGATGTGTCTGAATCGACCTTAAGAGTCATAGACTGTTTGAAATTCACGACAGATACTGGCAACGGCTCCATGATGTTACTTTCTTCCGCTTGTGAAAATTGCTTGGACAATGCAGATTAAAACTGATTTGCTTTTTCTAATAAATATAGATAAGCTATCGACAATGAGTTTTTAACATATTTCACTTTTTTATAGTATTTTTCTTCATGTTATTGTTTAGTTCGGCAAATGTACATCTCTTATTTATACATCAGTGATTGAATCATGCTTTAGTTGAAACAATCAAGATAGTCATTTATACAACCGTAAGCAATTGTCTGTGCGTGTATTTCAGTGCTATGAGTCTTAAATCCGGTCCTGATGCGCTGCTCGGGCAAAGCGGCAACGTGGTCGGCCGTTCTCCCGTAAGAAATACATTGCCTATCTTACCTGCACTGCCTTTCTAACTGTGGCTTCTACTATAGTAGCAGATTTTTTGAATTTATACGTCAAACTGACGTTACAAGTGGCGGACTCGGACAAAATAGGTTGAATAAAATTAAAAACCAAAATAAATTAAATCTACTTTACAAAATTTAACGAAATTTAAATTATAGAAAAAAGTTTTTGCTGTTCTTCGAGTTTGGCAATTGCTCTTGTTTTGTTGGGCGTGATTCAAATGCATCCTAATTATTTTGGACGCGTTTAATAGCTTTTTATTTTATTATTAGCTGTTCAGTGGCCGCAGCTGTATAATATAAATATGATAAATAAAATCACAAAAAAGCTTTTTTTAACTATTTTTTGTGATTTTTAGTATTTTTCATTAATAATAATATTTAAGATTTGCAATAACATTTACCTCATCTAAAATTTAATTGCAAAACTTTTGTTCCTCTTAAAAATTGTTTTAAAACCAACAGGTGTTGAGATATGAATAAAACGAGGAAAAATACTAAATTGTTTTAATATATTACTTAATAAAAAGTTAAATCCACTTTTGGGAACTCTGGCATAGTGAAATTATGATTTATAGCAATACTTGGATTGGGTTTATGCAAAAAACTACGTTGATATACTTCCCACCTCACTCGAAAACATATATCCTGATCTATAACTGTTCTAACTGTACCTTTTAAGTAAGTATGTAAGTATTTCTCATATAATTATATGATTATCTTATGAATTATTTTCTCGTGCCTTCAAAAGGACACAATGTCAAAATAGCAAACAAGCGAGTCTTCTACAGCTGGCGCCGCTTCTCGCATCCTAATTTACAGCGTTTTCTGTCGAAGCAATCTTCAGTTGTTAGATCTCTGGCGGTCATTGCATCGTCGACATCGTCTCTCCAGGATCGTCTTGGTCTACCTCGTTTTCTTCTAGTTGGCGGAGTCCATTCTTCTATTTTTTTGGCCATCTATTTTCCGGCATTCTCTGAAGGTGTCCATACCAGTTAAGTCTTTTGGCTTCGATTGTGTCTATTATGTCTAGATCGATTTCCATTTTCTCTCCGAATATCGTCGTTTCTCACCCTATCAAGTCTAGTGAGCTGGCAACATCGTCTCCAGTAGTTCGTTTCCATGGCCTTAATTTTTGATTTGTTTCTTTGGTTTATTTCCCAGAGTTCGGCGCCGTACAGTCCAATACTTTCTATTATTGTTTTATAAATTCTTCTTGTATTTTCTTTTGTTATTTTTTTATTCCATAATAGTCCGTGTAGCTGTCTGGTGGCTGATCTTGCTTGGCCAATCCTGGAATGTATTTTTTCGCTACTTCCTGCTTTTGATGTTATGTGGACTCCCAAGTACTTAAAATTGTCTGTTGGTTTTATAGTTCCCATTTCGATTTGTAGGCTTTCTGGTTTTTCTCCTACAACTAAGTACTCAGTTTTTTGTATATTAATTGTGAGGCTCCATTTGGTGTACTCATCTTCCAGTTTTCTAAGCATGTAGCTTATATCACTCTCGTCTTCAGCTAGAATGGCTTGGTCGTCAGCGAAGTGTATCGTGTACAATCTATCATCTCCGATTGGGATGCCCATATTGCAGCACTTTCTTCTCCACAGTGAGAGTGCCTCATTTAGATATATTTTGAAGAGTGTAGGTGCTATGCAGCAGCCTTGCTTTAGGCCCTTACTAATAGGAATTTCTCTAGTTAATCTATTTCCAGTTTTAATGTTTGCCGTCATATTTTTGTAGAGCTGTTGTACTGCTTGTATATTTTTTTTGCTTATTCCTTATTTTTTCACTGCTACCCAAAGCATTGAAAGTGGTACACTATCGTATGCCTTTGTCAGATCTATAAAGACTATATGAGTAAGGTTGTGGGTTAAGCTTTTCTCGATAACTTGCTTTAGAGAGAATATACTGTCCATGCAAGATCTGCCTGCACGAAAGCCATTCTGTTCTTCTACATCTGTCATCTCTTTTTCAATTTTATTTTTTATTATTTTTCCATACAGTCTTGAGAGTGAATTTATGACACTTAGCCCCTGTAGTTTGAACAATTCTTTCTATCTCCTTTTTTGTAGATGTTGTTAATATGTGCTTTTGTCCAATCCGGTGGTAAGTCGTGTCCATTATAGAATAAGGTGAAGACATACGCCAGTAATTCCCGTAATACTTGTGGGCTATGTTTTAATAATTCATTTGGTATACCTTGTGGTCCGCATGACTTCCGATTTTTTAGAGTTCGTATTGCATTCTCGACTTCCTGTACTGTTCTTTCATCGTCTTCACTGAATTCCAGTTCATATGTAGTTGTACTGATGTTCGTGAATCGAGGTCTTGTTTCAGTCAAAAGTTGTGAATCCAAGATTTTTCTTCTATTAAATCTATTCTACTCGTTTCTTTTCTGTTTGTTCTCAGATTTTTTTACCGTTTTCCATGCTTCTCTTGATCTTGTTGACCCTATATATTTGTTGAGTTCTTCGCCTTTACTTTCCCAGGAAATATTTTTTGCTTTAGTTACTAAATTTTTTAATTCTCTTTTTGATCTTGCATATGTTCGTCCATCATCTGGATCATTTGTTTGCAGCAACTTTTGATATGCTTGTTTCTTGTTGTGTACTGCATTAGCGATGTCATTTGTCCACCACAATGGAGTATTCTTTTTGTTCTTTTGGGTTG